AGTGCTTTGTCCTTTCCTTCTCCAAGAAGGAAACTGAGGCAAATAGGGTTAAGTGACTTGCCCAGGGTCACACAGCTAATAAGTACCTGAAGCCAGATTTGAACTCAGGAAGATGAGTCTTCATCTTAGCTCAACTGTCTATCCACTGTACCATCCAGCTGCCCCTGCCTGAGTAAAGGGTGGAGGTAAGTGCAAGACAACAGCTTGACCTTTCTGTAAGTTTCCCTGGAATGTTGGTGAAGGGTGAAATTACAAGGGCAAGGAATTTAGACTCATAAGGGTGGGAGAATACTTAACTTATGGCAGCTTGATTAAGTCTTAAAAAGTAGAATTAAAATTACTTTTCCATTTTACAGTGTCCAGGCTTCAGATAGGGGTTGGACTTGGTGAACTTGCAAATTCTATGTTTCTGTGAGGAGCCAAGGGAAGTCCTTTCAAACTTGGGTTTGGGGGAGAGGGAATCTAGATAGAGAGAAACAGTATATTAAGGGTTAAAAAGGAACTAGATAGAGTTGTGGGTCTCCTAGCCCCAACAGTAATTTAGTACCCCATAGTCCCACAGCACCTATTGCTCCCATCCCCAGTAGTCCCCAGACAAAAGAACTTTGCCTGCTGCTCTTTGTGAAGCAGTTTGGGCATGTTAGGACCAGGAAAGATGGGAAGGAGCCAGTGGGGTACAGTAGATAGACCCTACTCCTTGACTCCACAGGCTAAGTTCAGACCTTCTTCTGGGACAGGAAAGAAAGAAAGGAAAAAAGAAAGAAAGAAGGAAAGAAGGAAGGAAGAAAAAGGAAGGAAGAAAGAGAAAGAAAGAAAGTGATATGGATTCAGCATCCCATTGTTCCTAGCCCTGCTTGTCAATCAGTGTTGGGGGAAGGCTCCAGATGGGAAGGAAATATTAATTCTGCAGCTTTTGTATCACTTGGTCTTTGTCAGGTACCCCCATCAGCAAATTGTCAATGTCTTGCTACACTGAAGAGGAACTGAGATTCAAGGGCCTGACTTCTTTTGCTGAAGCGGACCTAAGTGGATTGTCTGAAAATTATCTATAAAAGCTGTCCTCACCTTGAAGCCGTTGCTGATCTCCAGTGATCAATGTATTGCTACATTGACATACTCATAATAAAATTCTTTTTATTCTCTTTGTCCTGAGTTTTGCCTCATTAATCAGGGTAAGCCAGAGGTGAAAAAGCCATAAAAAAACAAACAAAGAAAAACAAATTAAAAACACAAACAAACAAACAAAAAAGCTCCAGGCTATAGCTCATCATTTGTTGAAAGGAAAATTCTTCATTTAGGGTTTTCACCCTGATAAATGAGGTGATGACTTCAAGGCAGGGCCAACTTTTATGGAGAACTTGAAAGACAATTTGGATAGGTACACCTCAGCAAAAGAGGTTGGGGCATTTCATCTCAGTTCCTCCCCAAGGTAGCAAGAACAGGACAATTTGCAGGTAGGGGTACATATGTCACAAGTAGAGGTGTGATACAAAGAGCAGTTAATGCACACTTGGTGTCACCTCCCCCCCAACACTGATTGACAAGCAGGGCAGGGAACAGTGGGTCACTGAGTCAACATAATTTTCAATACTAGGAGGAGGAAAGGTCAGACTAGAGCAAGACAACCCAGACATGGATGGCATCATCACAAAACTGATATAAAAATGATCTGAGTCCTTCTCTAGCCTGCACCCAAAGTTCTCCTCATGGATTTCCTGGTAGGATGAACAGAGCTGGTTGGCAATTTTCAGAGAGACACAGAGAGAGAGAGAGACAGAGAGATAAATAGAGACAGAGAGACAGAGACAGAGAGTGCTCAAGAGAGACCAAAATTAGACAATAAGAAGGATTGCAACCATGAGCAAGTTTTGTGTGCCCTAGAAGGATCAGTGTTGGGGTGGGGAATTCATCTCTAAGAATCATGTGGGGAGAAAGATAGTAAGGACTTTAAGATCATTATTGGGAATTGTGAACTTAATTAAAAACTCATATTTGTGAGGCCCAAATGACATAACATATGTAAAGTGCTTTGCAAACTTTAAAGTACAAATGTTGGCAATGGCTGTAACCGGACAGAGCAACTTGGCTTTATCCCAGGGAGCTGAAATTCAGAGAGGGCTGACATCACTTGCAGTCCTTTAACAGCAGAGAAACAACCAAGATTAGCATTTAGTTAACAAAGATAACACATTAGGATAGAACTTTACCATCTCTCAGGTGATTCCACTAGCTTTCCCTTATAAACACTCAGGTTCACAAAGCTTTGAAACATAGGCTAATTTAATTGCACAGTAAAGTAGTGGTATCAAACTCAAATAGGGTTGAATGCAGTCTCCAGTGTGTTTGACACTTCTTTATTAAAGGACAGTCAGTCAGTGCTAAGTGCTGGGGAAAGAAGAAGAAGAAGAAGAAGAAGAAGAAGATGATGATGACAACGACAATGACAATGACAGAGGAGGAGGAGGAGAAAAAGGAGAAGATGACAAAAGACAATTCTTGTTCTCAAGGAGCTTACTCTAATTAAGGTGGGGGGTAGAGAAGGGGACAGCATGCAGATAATGATGTGCAAGCAAGATATATACAGGTTAAATTGAACATCATCAACAGAGGAGAGGCACCAGAATTAAGGAGGATAGAGAAAGGCTTCCTCTAAAAGGTGGGTTTTAGCTGGGACTTGAAGACAAGAGGGTCAGGTGAGCAGGTGGAGCATTCCATGAATAGGGGACAGCCAGGATAACTGTCAAGAGTCGGGAGACAGAGTGTCTTACTTGAAGAATTATATCAAAGCCAGTGTCACTGGAAGGAAGAGTGGATGGTGAGCATGGTTAAGGTGGAATGAAGACTGGAAGATAGGAAGGAATACAGAAAGGACTTGTGTCTGAACCTGTAGAGAATCAAGCCCTGTGCCCGTCCCTTGGCTAATTGTCTTCTTATTTTAACTTTACCTTCAAAAGTTCCTTTTATTTTCTCTAGAATTTTTGGCAAGGCTCATGCTGGGCTTTAGCCTTGCTGATACTGTTCTGACAGGTTTGTGATCAACACTTTTGTGTTCATTCTTGGTTGCTTAAGCAGTGAATAAAACTGGAAAGAGCATTATACTGGGTAACCATTCAAGCCTAGCTATGCCACTGGCCACTGGCTCCAAGGTCACATAGTTGCCTTCTCTTGGCCTCAGTTTCCTCTTAAGACTGGATGTGGGATGAGATAATCTTTAAAGTCCCTTCAGGCTCTTTCTATGAGCCCTTCCTTCTTTCTACATTTTAAAAGTCTAAAACTTATGGAGAACTCTTTGAGCAACTGTAATCAGAAACAACAACAATAAAAACCAGCCTCTATTTTTACCTATTTACATATTTTTTTCTTCCAAAGGATCATTTGTGATTTTATTGTCAGAATAGCTTTCTTTTTTTCTTTTCTTTTTTCTTCCTTTCTCTTCCTTCTTCTACACTATCCCATCTTTCAGCTATCTTCCCTTTCAAGTCCTCAGGCAATGGGATCCTATCTATCCTATTTCTGAGTTTTCTGAAACCAGCTTTTCTAAGATCTTAGAAACAAAACTGGCTATGCTCAGAGCTTTGTCTTCCTAAATGCTAAGTGGGATGGTCACTTTCCCCCCCATACAAACATGTACAGTCAAGCAAAACAAATTCCAACATTGGTCGTGACAAAAAATGCATCTTAATCTGTACTTTGTACCTATTATTCCTTTGAATCCTTTGAAACCTGCTCTCCCCAAATCCAGAGAGGCTGTTAGACTTTGTTTCTTCACCTCTATCACAAACCACCTGCTTCGATTTATCATTTCCTTAAGTAGCCTATTTAGCCACCAGAGGGCACTCTCTTCTTGATAATCTCAGCCTTCCTGCCTGGTAGAGACTGAAGACTAGAATGTCTTCTGGAAGAGAACGCCTGATACTTAAAAGAAGTTAGGGTTAGAGAAAATGGCAGGAGGAATGAGTGTCAAGTAGCACCAAGAAGTTCTGCAGGCCCTTAGCACCCCAAGTCCTAACCCACCACCAGTGCCCTGGCTCAGGACTCCAGATTGATGGGGAAGATGAGACAGGTTGACTGTGAAAGGGAGTCTCCCACAATGTCCCTGGCCTTGTTTCCTAGGCTGTAGTTATGGCTACTAGTCCTTACCCTGATCCAGCCCCATAATCTCATCTTCTGTCTTTTCAGAGTCTTTTCATAAATTGTTTTCCATACATTCTTTATATTCCCAGAGCTTAGCACAGTGCCTGGAACATAGTAAACACGTAATAAATGCTAGGTCATTTTCTGCTGGGTTCATTCCTTACTCTTTCTCAACCCTTTTTCATATTCTTCTACTCCAAGAAGCCTCCCTAAACTGTCACTTTCTGTTCTGCTTTTCCGTTCTCCCTATCCAGCTACCTAGAACTCTGGGAAACTAGATCCTGTGTTCTTGTCTTAAACTCTGTGTCTGTATCTTTGTCCCCTAGGAAGCACAGAATCACAGAACACTGAAGCTGGAAGGGGGCAAAGAGTTCATTTTGTTCAGTCAACTCCTACCTGGACAGGAATCCCTAAGAAAAACATTCCTATCGTGTGAATGTTTGTCATCTAGCCTGTACTAGGAGACCTATGAGGATGGAGAACTCACTAACTTAAGTGGAAACCGGTTCCACTTTGGGACAGGAAGTTTTTTCTGACATGGAAAATTAATTTGTTTGTTTGCAATTTCCTCTCATCGAGGTCTTGCTTCTGCCCTCTGGAACCAAGTAGAATATGTCCTCTTCCACAAGACAGAACTCCCACTGCTTGAACACAACTATCATGAACTTCCTAAATCCTTTCCCCCAATCAGGCTGGTGGCTCCCCAGGACAGGGACTATATTTTCGCGGAATATCCCTTCCTGTACAGAACTGCCTAAAAGAGATGCCCAATGCAAATGTTGGCTATAGCTTTTGGTTGTCAAGGGGTTAAGTCTTCCCTGTCTCCGCCCCCTTTTCCCAGCCGGCGGGAGTATGAATAGCGCCACTCGCTCTCCTCTCCTCACCAAGTCTCTCCGGAAGCTCCCCCAGTTCCTCCCTAGCCCTCTCACCCTGGTTCTTCTCCCGGCTCTCCGAGGTGCTTGGGGACCCGCCCCTTTCTCCTCTCCCTCAGCGCACTTCTCCGTCCGGGGTGGCTTTAAGGATGATGGAGGGCTGCCTGGGAGAGGAGTCTGTCCAGATGTGGGAGCTCAATCGGAGGCTGGAGGCTTATTTGTCCCGGGTCAAGTCTCTGGAGGAGCAAAACGAGAGGCTTCGGCTGGAGATTGGGAGCCTCCGGGAGCTCCCTGGAGAACCATCCTGGAGAAGCCAGGCGGAGGAGGAGCTGAGTGCCCTGCGGGCCCTGCTGGACCAGCGCTGGAGCGAGAAGCATGCTGCCGAAGTGGCCAGGGACAATCTTCTGGAGGAGGTAGAAGGGGTGGCAAGCCGATGCCAGCAGCAGCGGTTAGCCCGGGAGCGAGCTAAGGAGCAGGTGGCCGAGAGCCGCCGGCTGCTGGAGGCCGAGAAGTGGGCAGGGGTGTGTCTAGGGAACCAGGCAGCCGAGCTGGAGAAGGAGCTCGAGGCTTTAGTGGTGGCACATGAGCAGGAGCGGGCGGGAATGAGCGCCCAGGTGGCCCGCTCCGCTCTGGGCCTGGAGACCTTTCGCAGGGCTCCCGATAATGCCCCTGCCCCCGACGTGCAGGACCTAGCCCGCACGTTCGGGGAGGCGTGGAGGGGCGCAGTGGAAGGCTATCAGGCCCGCGTTGCCTGCATGGAGGCCTCCCTGGGACAGGCCCGGGAGAGGCTAGGTCAGGCGATGCAAGGGACCCGAGAGGGACAACGAGAGGTGCAGCGGCTGGACGTAGAGAGGGCAGCGCTCCAGAGCCGTCGAGAGATGCTGGAGCAGAGGCTGGAAGGCCAGTGGCAGGAGCAACAGGAGTCAGGAGAGAAGTACCAGGTGAGTGCTATGCCCCTGCCCCTCTGCTTCTCTCTCCTGAGCCCTGGTCCCTCTTTCCCAGCTCCTGCCCATTGATTGCTCCCAGTCGTCCCTTGTCCCTGCCTGTCTTGCTTAGTGTCTTCCAGCCTTGACCTCTTTCCCCCTAGCTAGTGTGATTGAAGAAGTTCTGTTGGAATCTGCTTTGGTTGGAAGAGATCGATCTTCCTAGTCTCTCCAAAGTGTGGGGAGTATGAAAGAAAAGGGGACCTGGCCAGAGGAGGGGAACCTTAGCAAAATCCATGTTCCCTTGTCATTGGAGACATTCGCAATGCCAGAAAAGGATTACATTCTATATATAGGACACCTAGAGTCCCCAGCTCCCACACCCAAAGATGTCCTTTGGGGTATCCCAAAGTTTTCCTCAAGAATTCCCTGGTAGGATGAAGAGAGCTGGTTGGCAATTTTCAGAGAGACACAGACAGAGACAGAGAGAAAGTGTGCCCTTTTACTTCCAAACGGTTTTGTAGGAGCATTAACACTTTATTCCCCAGCCTGCACATACCTATGCCCCCTGGGACCCTTCTCTGTGGTCCACAGAAACTATGAACTCTTCCCTACTCTGGCAGCTTCTATTGAGACAGCAAAAGATTCCCAATGGGTTTAACAGGGCCCGGCGAATGGGTCTGGGGACCCAGGCATCCAGACTTCCAGCCCCTCTCTGCCTTGTTCCAATGCTCCCTGGGGGGAGCTTCACATTCCAGAGAAGCAGAGACAGCTGTCCCTACTCTCACACACAGCTGTGACTGACAGCTGTGAAAACAACCTCCCAGTTAGGACCTGAATGGGGAGTGAGGGGCCAGGGTCCTAGAGGAGAAGGAGGATTTCAGGAAACACGGGCAGAGGAGGGAGTTAAAGCTTGGAATGAAAGGGAAGGACACAAAATTGGGTGTGGGGAGGGTGAAAAATTGAGGGGAGGGAATTGCTTAAGTTCTCAGGTAGTAGTTTTCCTCCCTTCCTCTTTTGTTTCCACTTTTCTCCTCTTTTTCTGTTCTTTCTCCTCTCTTCTCCCTTATGTATTTGCTTTAGAGTTAAATGTTGGAGGACTGAGCATCCTCACAGGGCTGAGCCATGTGATACAAACCCTTTGAGAACATTGTTGAAGAATCCTTTCTGCCTCCCCCCTGGAAAAAAAAAAAGGGAGAGAGGATGCAGTTCTTGCCTGTGGATCTCCAAAAGGAAATTTTCCTGGGGGAAGGCACATGCAAAGGTTATCTCCCCAGAGCAATGAACAAGAGGGAATAAGCTGCTATTTTGACCAGGAGGGATGGGAAGACCTTCCTATCCTTTAAGAAGAATGAAAGGGAGGTGCTGATTTTTCTGTTCCTTGTTTTGCAGCTGGTGGTGGAGGCCCTGGAGCAGGAGAAACAGGATCTCCACAACCAGATTGCTCAGGTCCTGGAAGATCGGCAACAGCTGATGCACCTGAAAATGTCCCTTAACCTAGAAGTGGCCACGTATAGGTGAGGCCTTTTCCCCAGAACCCTTATTCCCTAGGACATCATGGTTCAGTGAACAGGAATCTTCAAACTAGGAGTCAAGACACCTGGGTTCAAATCCCAGACCTGCCATTAACTTACCGTGTGATCTTAGACAAGTCCTTTCCCTTCCTCTGAGTCTCAGTATGTTCATATGTTGAACAAAGGTTTTGAAGCACATTTCTCAGGTTCCTTCTTTCTTTTACAGCCCCTTTTAAACTCCGGGGAGAGAACCACTGTACCAGTTCTCCCCATAAGTTCTACATCTCTCTTCCCACACATCCCCTCACACCCTTATATCATCAGGCCTGGGTTCCAGATGAATGTGATACAGAGAGGCCAAGAGCTGGTCTAGGACATTTGTGTCTTCTAGTATCCATGGCCTGGTTTTCATTAAGCCTGCCACCTTAATTCTATGCAACAAAGTGGGAAGAGGCTTACAAGCTTAACAGAGAGAGAGAGAGAAAAAAAGAGAGAGAGAGTGTGTCCTTATACTTCCAAACAGTTTCGTAGGAGCACCAACACTTTACCTCCACATACTTATACCCCCTGGGACCCATCTCTCCATGGTCCACAGCAACTTTGAACTCTTTCCTACTCAGGCAGCTGCAATTGAACTTAACAAGCCCATTTCCCTTCTGATCTCTGTCCTAAGTCCCCAGGAAAGTCCTGAATCCTGGGCTAGGTCCACAAGGCACAAGGACACAATGTTAGATTGGGAGAGATGGGAGAGGGGCAGGGTGAGAATGAACGTGAAAGGGATCGGAAGGGATGACGGTAAAAGGTTTGGGGGGTGGGGGTGGTCAGGATCCAGAGGAAAGAAGGTTGGGGAGGAGTGAACATTGTTGTCAGAAGGATGGAGGTTAGATAGAAGGAAGGGGTGGGGAAGAGAAATGTCAATGGCTTTTGCTTTCTTGGATACAGGGAGAAAAGGCATGTAACAATGTTTATTTAATTGACTTGCAAGACATTGTCTTCCCTTTTTCCATTGGTGATAGGGGGAGGTAGGTAGGAAGTATGTCCTACCCAGAGGTGGGGGATGGACATGATGATTCCTGTCTTTAAAAGGACCTGAGATCCAGAGTGCTTGGAGATCCCAAGACAAGGGCCTTGACCCCCAATCAAACTACTGAGAGAAAAGAGGAGAGGGGGCCCTGAGGAATTATAACTTGGGTTCTTTGTAGGGGTGTGGGGCAGAGGGGTTTAGAATTCTGAATTCATTTGCTATTGTCTGAGCACAGCTCCCCTTCATTCTGCATGGCAAGATGGGGGAGCTCATCCCATGGGAACGGCTTGAGAATTCCTGCTTCCCCCAAGGAAGCCCCCCTTCCCAGACCCTCCAGATGGCTGTCTGGACAATGGCAGCTGATTAGCATGAGAATAGTGCCCCCCAGCCCCCACAGGGAGAGGATGAGGTCATGGGCATGAGGGAATAGATTCCAGAGTGGGAGAGACACACAGTCTCCAAAGCAACGTGTGTATGCATGTGTGATTGTGCTGTGTAATTTTGTGTCTATGTGGCTGTGTGACTTTGGATGATGGCATAACTGTGTGTAAGTACCCTAGTGAGTGATTGCCACGTTTGTGTGTCTGTGGGACTATTAACCTTTGTCCATGAATATATTTGTTCTGGATCTCTCATTTTGTGAATGTACCTGTCATGTTGGGGCAAGGGGAAAGATACAAACAGTCATTTTTCCATGCTGGATTGGTTTAATTAATCAGGCAATCAGAGTAACCTAGGACCTCTTCCTTTGTTTCTAGGACACTCCTGGAGGCTGAGAGTTCCCGGCTGCATACATCCAATATAGATTCAAAGGCCACTGCCATCTTTCCTGGTAAGAAGATGCTGTCACTCACTCTACCCCCTTGCCTTGCCCCTCCACCCATCAAGAGAAGGCTCCTTCAGTATCCTGACACCCTTCCCCAACCTTTATTCCTCTTACTGGTACATGGTAAGCCTTGTTTTGCCCATCTTAGACTTCTTGCCCCCATAGACACCCAAATTTTAGAATAAATTCCACTTCAAAGGGATCCCCCTCGATCAAGGGAAGGTATTTGAGGCTAGATATTGATGATGGAAAGGGGTTCAGGAATGTGGTAGTAGGGAATACTGGGGGAGAAGTTCAGCAGGAATGTTGTAGATAAGGGGGTATTCCCCCAAGTTCACATACTGACTCTGCCTCTATCCCCTCTATCTTTTCAGACCCCAAGGTGGAGTTGTGTATCCCTGGGACACCTGAGATCCGGCGCCCAGGACCCTGGCCTCCTGTCCTGAGTCCCACACCCCTTCCCATGGTGGATACACCTAGGACCCCAATGCCTACGTTTGTGAAGAGTCAAGGATTCCTCCCAACCCAGACACCCACCTTGGCCAGCACCCCCATCCCACCCATTTCCCAAGCTCACCACTCAGGCTCTAGGAGGGAAGTCCAAGCCCAGGTGGCACCCTCCTACCTTCTCCAGGGGCCATCTTTTGATGGACCCAAGCCAAAGGATAGTGACCACCTGGCTGCTCTAAAGCTCCCATGGGCCAAAGCCAAGGTAGGCATTGGAGTGGGCAGTAATCTGGGGTCTGAAGAACCAGGGATTGAGAAACAACAGGTCCCCAGCTTTCCTTGTCCAGATGAGCTAATGGAACAAGTTGAGGATGGAAAAATTGACTTAGCAATTGACTCTGCTATTGACCCCATGAAGGCCAAAGATGGGGAGGAAGAGAAAGAGGAGCTCAGTGGTTTCAGTAGTTCCCAGCCCCCAGCTCCAGATCCTAGTAAATACCAAAAGAAGGAGGAAACAGAAATCCAGGGGGTGGCAGAGGAGGAAGAAGAAGCTAAAGAGACAATCACAGAGAATTTGGAACAAGAGGCATGGCAAAAAGGAGGGGCCCTAGACAGGGAGGAGATACAGGAGACCCTGAGGCTGCCAGGTGAGATCCAGGAAACACCTGAAATTTCAGAGGAGAAGTTTCAGGACACACTCAGGATTCTGGATGGAGAGATCAAGGAGGCCCTGAAGCTACCAGGTGAGGAGAGGCAGGAGACCCAGAAGCTGCCAAGTGAGGGATTCCAGGAGACCCAGAGTCTTCTAGGTAAGGAGACCCAGGAGACACAGATTCTTCTAGGTGAGGAGATCCAAGAGACCCAGAAGCTGCCAGGTGAGGAATTCCAGAAGATCCAGGGTCTTCCAAGTAAGGAGATCCAGGAGACCCAGAAGCTGCCAAGTGAGGAACTCCAGAAGACCCAGGGCCTTCCAAGTAAGGAGATCCAGGAGACCCAGAAGCTGCCAAGTGAGGAACTCCAGAAGACCCAGGGCCTTCCAAGTAAGGAGATCCAGGAGACCCAGAAGCTGCCAAGTGAGGAACTCCAGGAGACCCAGATTCTTCTAGGTGAGGAGATCCAAGAGACCCAGAAGCTGCCAGATGAGGAATTCCAGAAGACCCAGGGTCTTCCAAGTAAGGAGATCCAGGAGACCCAGAAGCTGCCAAGTGAGGAACTCCAGAAGACCCAGGGCCTTCCAAGTAAGGAGATCCAGGAGACCCAGATTCTTCTAGGTGAGGAGATCCAAGAGACCCAGAAGCTGCCAGGTGAGGAATTCCAGAAGATCCAGGGTCTTCCAAGTAAGGAGATCCAGGAGACCCAGAAGCTGCCAAGTGAGGAACTCCAGGAGACCCAGAAGCTGCCAAGTGAGGAACTCCAGGAGACCCAGAGTCTCGCAAGTAAGGAGATCCAGGAGACCCAGATTCTTCCAGATGAGGAGATCCAGGAGAATCTGCCATGTGGTGAGAACCAAAAGATATTGAGTTTTCCAGGAGAGGAGAACCAAGAGATACTGAAGTCTCCAGAAAATGAGATGCAAGAGACACTGAGGTCTCTAGGAGAAGAGAATGAAGAGATATTGAGCTCTCCAAAAGAAGGCAACCTGGAGAGAGAGGAGAAGCAGGACTCACTGGGTTCTCCAGAAGAGAACAAACAGGAGACAGTGAGTTCTCTAGAAGGAGTCCTGGAGAGGAAGGAGAATCAGGAGACTCTGGGATCTCCAGATGACATTCAGGAAATGGTGAGCTCTCCAGAAGACCTGGAGAGGGAGGACAACGAGGAGACACTAGGACCTCCAGAAGAAGAAAACCAGGAAATACTGAAGCCCCTAAAAGAGGAAATCCAGGAAATACTGTGTTTTTCAGAAGACAAAAACCAGGAGAGGGAGGAGATGCAAGAAATATTAGGTTTGTCAGAAAAGGAAATGCAGGAGACATTAAGATCTCTGGATAAGGGTAACTTGGAGATGGAGGAAAACCAGGAGATTCCAGAAGAGGGAAAAGTAGAATTGGAGAGGAAGGAGAACCAGGAAACATTGCAGTCTCTGGAAGTGGAAAGCCTAGCTCTTCAAAAACCAGAGGATGTGGCTAGGATGGGCCAAGGGCAGTCCAGCGGCAGAGATGAAAAAGGCCCATGTGAGATTGGAAAGGATCATGAAGAAACTGCAAAGCTGAAGCCAGGAGAGCAAAGTGGCCTTGAAAGGAACTGGGAGGTTGTAGAGGAGGCAGGATTGCAGTATGGTAGCTCTGCTGAGTCCTGGCAGGCTGAAGAAGAGGAGCTGGGGAGCCAGGAGTCTGAAGAGCAGAAATTTCCAACAAAGGAAACCATTGAGGAGGGGATGACCAAAGGCCCCCAGGTGGAGTTCAAGGAGGTAGAGTCACCAGAACTTGGAGCAATGGCAGAGCAGATGTTAAAGGAAGATGGAGCCTTCAGGAAGAGTGATGGAGTAACCCCAGGGGATAATGGATCTATAGTGGGTCTAAAGCCATCAGAGAAGGAAGAGGTAAGAAGTCAAGAACAGCTGGAAAGGGAGGAATCAGAATTAGAGAACTGGGAAGAGGGGCCATCAGAGCCACACTACGTGGAAGTGATTTTAGAAACTTCAGTGGAGCAGTTGGAGAGACAGACTGGAAAGCATGTGCAGGAAACAGATGAACTGAACCAGCAGTCCAACAGGCTGCTTATGGAGAGTGGAAGTCACCCCCATTTAGAGGCCACAGAGCTATTGGAAGAATTAGAGCAGGGGAAGTCTTTAGGAATGGGGGAAGACCTTAGACCCCCTTCAGACACCTTCTCTGCAAAAACTACAATCGACAACACTGATGATGAAGAGGGTGCCACCATTCAATCTCACCTCATGGGCCAGGGAGGACCCCAAGAGGAAACAAAACAAGAGGTAAGGGCCTCAGAAGATCTCCAGAGCCCCCAAGTTGAGGGATACTCGGAGCAAATGCCACAGCCCTTCAGCTCACTTCCCAAAGACCCTCTGGGGTCCTCTTTTAGGGCTGACAGCAACCAAGAGTTATGGGAAAGCTGGGAAACAGAGGAGAGAACAAGGGCCAGTGAGGAGCTGGTCAGGGAAATAGGGAAAGTTGGTGTTCAAGACAGCTCAGCAGTCTTTCAAGAGGAGGTGGAGGAGAGTGAGGAGGATGATCTGAGTGAGACTCTCCCAGACTCCACACCCTTGGGCCTTTACTCTAGGGACCCAGACTCATCTAGCTGGGGGATTATTGGAAAGGAACATCCTTCTCCTCAAGAGGAGCATAAAGATGATACCTGGGACTCCCCACCCAGGCATGCTGAGGCCAGTAAGACTCAGCCATGTGAAGGAGAGGAGGATGAGGAGGGGGCTCCTGACTCTGAAGTGTCTGAAGACTTTGAGGACCTTGCTGCTGATGCTTCCCTCTTACCTGGGAGCCCTGGGGGACCAGTGGGCACTGTGAGGCATGGGTCCGAATTGCTGCTAGACCCTCCTACCTGGGATCGGGATGGAGAGTCTGATGGGTTTGCAGATGAAGAAGAAAGTGCAGAGGAGGAAGAGGATGGTGATGATGATGACGACGACGATGACGACAATGATGGGAGAGGTGAGGGAATTAGACACTGGGAGCTGGGTCACTCTTTGGGAAGTCCAGTGAGTTACCATAAGGAAGAAGAACCCAAGGAGGAAAGGGACAGAAATGCTGATGCCCCCTCAGATGCTGGAGAGAGGGAGGGAGCAGAAAATCCCTGTCCTGCAGTTCTGGAGGTTGAGAAAGAGATGGAGCCCTCAGATAGACCAAAGTCCCTGGACAGCGATATACAATCTGACTCTGAAGAAGAGCATTCTCATGACACTGAAGATAGGGGACACTCCGACCTGGAGGAGGAGGAGCTGGAGCCTCCCCTACCACAAAGTCAAGGCCTTTTAGGAGTGAGTGACCTGAGCCCCTCGGATAAGGAGTATCAAGCCTCAGACGGTGACCTGATAGACATACCCTGCAGAGTGGACGACAGTGTCAGGAAGTCAGGGGCTAGCCTCAATGGTGGGGGTCCCAGCCTGGACCAACCAGATGACATCAGAGGAGAAATATTAAACGGGTTGGGGAAGCTTGAGGAGGCGAGCCAGGGGAAGCTATGGGCCCTGGAGAGGGAGGGAGGTGAAGGGAAAGCCCCTGAGGAGGAGCTCTCCTCCCATACCCAGTGGAGTGGAGGTCCCCTCATCCTGGAGCAGAGACCATTTCTGAAATTCACTCAGAGCAAGGAAGAGGATAGAGATTCTTGGTCCTCAGGGGATGAGTAGAAAGGGGTCTCTCTTCTCTCTTCTAGCTCTGGGGAGGGGACAAGGGACAGCAGAAATGGTAATCCCCCCACCCCACATTCCCCTCGAGCTTGGGAGTCTTCGTCTTGACGTGACTCATGACCTAACTTCAGTGTTTTGACCCCTAGGGTCAGGAGGTGGGTTGGAGAAAAAGGATTTCCCCAAAATGGAAGCTCTGGAAAAAGCAATTCAGTCCCTTCTTCCCTCCCTTGGAAAAGTGGTATAGGAGTATTTTCTTCCATCTCCTCTCTGAAATTTAGACCAGATCCTGGTCACCACAGGCCTCCTTGGGTCCCTCACTGTGGTCATCCCCTCATTGCCCCCAAAACTCTCTTTCTCAAAGAGGGGAAATAAGGGGTATTCCCTACTTTGAGTGCAGTGGAAATGGAAGAATCATAGGGGAAAGTTAGGGGACAGAATTCTAACCTTCTTGAGCTGGTAGTGACAGTATCTGAGGCTCTGCCTCTATCCAATCTTGCAGTGGGCCGTGGGGGACGTCTCTTCATTGCTAACCCAGTATAAGAGAGGAGGGACCACCAAGCATTCTAATATGCTCAGCCTGAACCCTTAGCCCCTCTACCCCCATGGTATCTAGGTTGGTTTTGTGAATAAAGTGATCACAGCCACCACCACTCCTGTCATTGTGTCCTGACTTCTCTGTTCTTCTCCACCCCCCCCCCCCAATTCCTACCCTGGGTGGGGTTCTTGGTGCTACTTACAGTTTGCCTGAAAAGACTGGGGACTAATTTAAAGGAGGGGATCAACCTTCCTGGGGGATGAGAAAGGTGTCTGGGGATGAGACTGGGGATTAAGGGGTCCCCCAGGTAGAGGTAGATTAATTTTATTGTCAAAGGGGAGTCTTCCCAGGGTCCCCAGGTTTAAAGGTCCCATAAAAGTCATTTTATATTAGGTTGCCTTATGGGAAATGAAAGGAAATGCAGCATAGTGGAAAGAGCTCTGGGCCTCAGTTTCCGTAGCTATAAAATAAAGAGGTTGGAATAATTGATCTCTAAGGTCCTTTCCAGCTCAACTCCACTATCATGGATAGCATAGGTCTTCAGTGGAAGAGGGCCCTCATCACTGTGTTCTCACCAGGACTTACCTGTTTTAAATCTACCCCCAAGCTCTCAGTTTCATGGGGAGACAGAACAGAGACAACCGGTCAGAGCTCTAAATACCTATAAGGAGAAGTTAAGGAAGGCAGGGGGTGCATGTATGGTCCGGGAAAACTTCCTAGCAGAGGGGATTGTGAAGCTGGGAGAAGGGGTAGAAGGAGCGGGTAGAAGTGGAGAGTAGACTACATAGAATAGGGAATGTAGTGGTGTGGGGTTTTAGCAGGAGAAAGGGCAGAGTAGATTGGAGAAGAGAATTTAATGTGGGAGGTCTGGGGAGAGGGGCCTGAGGACGGTGGGCATCTCAGACCAGACACTCAGACATGAGAGGCCAGTGGGTCGAGGTGGGGCGCCAGTGACATCAGCTTCCTTGATGAGGGGCACCAAAATAATCATCATCTCTTCCCACTGCTGCCCAATTACAGTGATTAGACTAAAGAGCCAAGGCAAAAAAGCTTACCCCCTTCCTATCTCCCCACAGGCCCACTCTGGCCCAGCCCAGATAATAAGCCCCCAGCTCTGAAATACAAACAGTTGTCTCCGCCAGACCTCCAACATCCTCTGTACCCAGCCAAGGTCAGGGAGGGGTGACAGAGGAAACTTTGTGTACAGGCAGCCCTTGGATCATGAAAAGTTCCCTAGATTTAGTAGATCCAGGTTCTAGTCTCTGTTCTGCTGCTTATTGGTGGCATCAAGCTCCCTCACTGCTCCCAGCCTCAGCTTCCTCGTCTGTCAAATGGATGCATATACAACCCAGGACTGTAGGGAGGAAAGTGTTAGGTCACTTGGGGCTAATGCAATTTAAGGGGGGGAAGCAGTGAACTTTGATTCTTCTTGTAGTTCTCTCACTAGCTGGTAAGGTGCAGCTTGATCTTTCTCGCCTCAGTTTCTTCAGCTGTTAGGTAGGGATTTGAATCCTCTGCTACCATGTGCTACTGTTTGCATCCTCACTCTGCTAGTACTTGTGTGAATTTGGATGAGACACTTCCTGGTTCCAGATTTCCTCCTCTGGAAACTGGGGGTGGGAGCTGATAATCCCCAAGCTTTAAAAAGTCCGTGTTATGAGAGGAGGGGTCAAGCTCTGGAGGGAAAGTGCCAGATAGCAGGGGCAGCGAGGGGTTCGAGGAGGGGAGATCTCCAGGTTTTAGGGGAAGGACAAGGCTGAAGTCACGGTGAGAAGGAGGTAAGTTTTTATAGTGGTGTTATCACTGCCTGATACTACAGTGGTTGGGATGGAAGTTAAAAGGCCAGAAGAACTTCCTAGCCAGCAACGTTGTAACCAGCCCATGGTACTGTAGAGAAAATGCTGGATTTGGAGTCAGAGGGATCAGGCTTGGGCCTCAGCTCCCTCACTTATTATCTGCGGGACCCTGGGCCCTTTGTAATCTCTCTGGGCCTCAGTTTCCTCAACAAGGGGATTGGACTAGATGACCTTTTTGATTCATTTCAGCTTTAAATCTAATGATCTTGTTTGAGGCTTCAAGAAGAAGCCCTTGTACCGGGGTGGGGCCCGCTGGCAGATGGACAGGAACAGGCCCTTCCGGGATAAGAAAGAGTCCAAGAGACCTTGAAATCATAGTCCCCAAATAGCAGCAGTTTCTCAGCTTTGCCCAGGGCACCCTGGGATAGGAAGACCTAGGAAGGCATGGGGTGTGGGGAGGGATACCTTTAAATATCTCTCAGCTGTGGGGATGGTGTGTGGAAGGAGGGGGTGGGGAGGGTGGGTGACAGCCCCAGGCTCTGCCTCCCTGAAGAACACCGAATAAAGCTGTTCTATTCAGAGATGTCCCTGAAAGAGACTGCACACACCCTTCCTAGGGAGATCTGAGGTCTGGCTAGGGATGATGGGCTATTGTCCCTGGGGGCCTTCCTTGGTGAAATCATTCTCTCCCACCCTAGTTTCACCAAAGTCATGGTCCCCCCAGGGGAGACACCCTCCCCTCCTTTCACTCCCTGCTTCCCTAGCTGGCCCCTGAGGACAGAAAGGACAATCTTCCCCAGGGTTTAGGGGTTAGGGGGGGAGGTGGGGGAAGGGGAAGGAGGAGAGATATGGGAATTTGGAGATTTCTTTCTGTTTCTATACACTACAATCTCTTTTTATTCCCTCTAAAAGCATCTGTTAGGTGTTCAGGGCACCATGCTAGGAGCTGGAGCAATTACATAGATAATTAAGAAGTATATGGTCCCTGTTCTCATAGATCTTCGAAGATCTGTCTCTATATACCTCTGTTTTGGTTTATTTCTGCCTCTGTCTCTGACTTTCTGTCTTCCTTCCCCTACTCCTTTATTTCTATCATTTTGTCTCCCACCTGGTCTTGGTCTTTGTATGTATCTCTGTGTCTCTGTCACTGTCTCTGTCTCTCTGCCTCTCTCTGTCTCTATCTCTCTCCCTCTGTTTCAATCTCTGTCTGTCTCAGTCTCTTCTCTGCCCCCTTAATTATCTATTCTCTACCAAGGGTTCAATTGTCATCTCTATACAGATCATCCACAAATCTTTATATTTAGCCCTAATCCCCACCACTAACCTTCAGCTCAGAATTTCCAACCCTCCTTAGACATCATTTGGATGTCCCATCAGCAATTCAAACTCAACACATTCAAAACTGGAGTCATCAATGCACCACCTAAACCATTTCCCCTTCCCTCAACTTTCCAATTTCTATCTTTGATTTATTGTTCAGTCGTTTTTCAGTCATGTCCAACTCTTCTTGACCCCATTTGGGGTTTTCTTGGCAAAGATGCTGGGGTGGTTTGCCAGTTCTGTCTCCAGCTCATTTTACAGATGAGGGGAACTGAGGCAAACAGGGTTAAGGGATCTGCCCAGGGTCCCACAGCTAGTAAGAGTCTGAGGTCAGATTTGAACTCAGAAAGATGAGTCTTCCTGACTCCAGGCCGGGCACTCTATCTACTGTGCCATTTAGCTGCTTTGAAACTCTCCTTCTAAGTTTGCCTAGGCTAAAAACTTTGGTCATCTTGGACTTTTCATTTTCCCTCATATCCCCAGATCTAATTGATTATCTACACGATAGAGTTTTTTGGTTGTACTTGCACCGTATATTATATTCATCCCCAAGTTCAGGTCTTCCTCACCTCTCACCTGGCTATTGTCATGATAGCCTCCTAACTGGTCTCCTTGCCTCCATTCTTTCCTGCCTTCCATTCCTTTCTTCTCACAGCTGCCAAAAACAAGTCCCCCTTCATCATTATCCTATTGCTTAGAGGATAAAACATTAATTCCTTCATCTGACATTTAATGCCCTTGATGATCTGACTCCAACGTAATCTTTCCAGCCTTGTTTCACATTACTCTACAATCACACACTCTACATTCCAGCCAAACTGGACCAGCTGTTCCCCCTTTTCATATTGGCCTCTCCCACTTCTATGCATCAGTTGAGGCTTTCCCCATTCCTGGAATGCACTCGCTCTACATCTCTGCCTTTTAAAGTCCTTCTCTTTTCTTCTAGGCCTAGGTCAGGTACCACCTTCTTTCTTCAAGTCTTCCCAGACCTTCCCTCCCTCCTCTGATTTTCCTAGAACACTTGTATAGCTCTCTTCTTTGCCACCACCCTGGTCTAACTTGTCTTATGCTTATATGCTTATATAGTGCTATCCTGGCCCTGAGGCTGATGAGGTCCTGATGCTGACCGAAAAACCAACATCCAGGCCTGCCAGGCACAGAACAAGGGATTGAAGGCAGGGGCTAGGGTGTTTTTGATCTTTACACCCTCAGGACTTAATAAGCATTTGTTGAATTGTCTGCTCTTGTCTTAGTCCCTATATCCCTCTACCTTTTTGCCTCTATTTGTCTCTCTATCTCTGCCTCTCTATGTCTTCTTTCTCCTGGGGGGGCCTCTGGGATGCAGGATTCCAGCCTCTCCTCTTAAACCAGCTCCGGGCCTTGGGAGTGCCCCTTCCTTTCCCAGAATACAACAAGGTCCCTTCTGATTATACCCCATCTGCCAGGCCTTTGGGCATCTGGGCAGAGCTGTGTCAGCTCCCTCCTCAAAGACAGAGGCACCCTGTGCGTAGTGTACCCACCCCCACCCGCCTCTCTTGGTACTAGCAAACTGGGGACAAGGGGATCGGGACAATGCCGCCCAACTGTTTGTCCCTCTGCCTATGTATCTGTATTTCTGAGGACATGCAGCTGCTTATATGCCCTGCAAGAGAAACCAGGGTTTCCTGGGTTGATCTTCTCAAACAATGGGAGGGATGAGGATTAGAGTAGGGAAGATTTCTACTGATTCTTATTAAACTTTGAGCTCCATGAAAATATTGTCTTTTTACATTTATATTCCTTACATTGCACCCTATAGGGTTGGTGCTCAATTAACGTCTGTTGAATGAATGAATGAACGAGAGAATGGATGAGGACTTCCCTGGCTGTGATATAAATTCCAGCAAATGTGGTATAGAAGAAAGAGCACTGACCTTGGAGTCATAAGACTTAAATTCAAGTGCTGGCTTGATGCTTTCTAGCTATATGACATTTGACAAGTTGCTCTTGTCTCTGGACT